TCTTTGAACTTTCCCACTGTCGTTGGGTATGGAACAGACTGGTAATGAAAAATCTAAAAGGAGGCAAAGACAATAATTGCGCCAATAAAACACTCATCTAAGAAAGCAAAGAAAACTACTTTTTGGATTGCAAACATAAAGGAATACACATTAAGAAGTCAGAAATACTACTCCTTAAACAGGAGACCTTTTCAAGTTCCTGTTCGATAGTTCTGAGTCAGTTCCATTTCATTACATCTCCAACACTTTTATCTACCAGCCTCAGCTCTCAGATGTCATCATCACCATTCTGACCAACTTGTTCCCTTCTGCACATCTTCAGTTGAGAAGCAGAGCAGGCTTCTTGTCTCATGAAAGACAGAACATTGCAGTTCTTCAGCTTTTGCTTCTTGCACTTTTGCTCTTGCTTTCCTATGAGTGGAAACTTAGCAGACCTCACTTCACACAAGCATCACCCTTTTGTTCCAGATACAAGGGCAATCCTAAGAGTTCCAGCTCTTCAGGCAGCAGAAGCCTCTGATAATCCGTAAAGATGCGCATTTTCTGTTTCCACCTTGAATGAGAGATTTCCAGTGGGCTTTCAGCCTTTCAAGATGCTGCCAACAAAACAGCAAGAAGCAGCCCATAAACCATAGAGGCTGTCATCATCGCTGTCTACAGACTGTCACTGCACACATGTTCTTACCACTCCACTCCAGACTGCACGACAGAACTACTAGGGTACAGCTGCCTTCAAAAAAGCTACCAATCATTCTATATAAAGCCACAGCATGCAATGCAGCACTTGGGTCAAGACTCAAAGTTTATCTACTTTATCATCACCATGCTATTATGCATTTACATAGAATAGGTTTTGCCCAAAGAACACTAAAGCAATTTCATATGGGAAAGAAGGCGACGATGTGAGTCCCAAACCCCAAAGTGATGAAGAAGCACAGCAAGGTAAACAGAAAAAAAAAAAAATCATCAGATTTTCAGCATGCACAGAGGCCTGGTCAGTCTCCACTAGAAAAAGATTCCCTGTTCCACTTACTGTCTCCATCTGACCACCCGTGAGGGGCCGGTATGTCCAGTCTACCGTCAGGCTGTCAGTGATGGGCGAAATGGATTTGAATGAGCATTTCAGTGATACTTGTTCACCAATGAAAGCTTGCACTTTAGGACTGGCTTTAATTTCCAGGGAAAG